GTATAACTCGGTATAATTCGGTATTGATCTTCACATAGCGGTATTCCTCGTTATTACCAAATAATACCTAGCAATACCGAGCAAATACCGAGTTTTTTGGCGGGATTTTAGTGCCGACCGGACGTTCCTCTACGTCCGGTCGGAGGACATAATAATTGTTCCTCAAATGAAGCCTAAGATTTCGTTTCCGTCAGTTTTTTTACTATTTTTTAAAGCAACTTTTTAATATAAAAATTTCTTAAAAGCTATGAAATGTTGTTGCCAAAAGCTGTCCCAAATAAAGCATAACTAGAGTTAAATTATGAGCTCAAAGAGTATTTTAATATATTTTGATACGTCATAGTAATTTTATAATTTCTTGCACTTAGAGCTCCTGTCTAACTTCTCAATCTCTATTTTTATCTCCTTGGCCTCAAATCATATTTATTACTAAGATATTATTTTCATTTATGAATAGTTTTGAATCCATTGGGTGATATTTAAGATAATAATGATGTTGTAAATAATATTAACTTGATGTCAAAGGTTTATTCATCAACAATATTTTTCATGATAAATTATATTGCAGGAAATTATATATAAATAAAGAATGATCCATGAAAAAAAAAATTGTTAGAATGCTTATATAATAATGATGTTTTTTTTCATCTTATTAGACCAAAATTTCAATTATACTCATAGTTTTAAAAATCACATGGGATTGGTGGGCCCGATCATGAATAAGTCATATGGTCGATCTAGTAGGTTTGATTATTAAATTATAGTATTCATGTAAGAGTTGCATTAAAAATGATGTAGGTGCGATTATTAATGAAAGTTTGAAAGATAATATTGTATAAATTAATAGAATTGGAGATATAATTATAGTTTTATAGGTTGTTCTTGATGTTAAGATTATTTATATTATAAGTGATTATATTCCTTGATAAGTTTTAAATATGTGTTTAAAATAAAATTTTGAACTAACTTATAATAATTAATATAAATGATATCTCTTGAAGAAAAAAAAATTATTTGAGGGGGATTTAAATAGATGTGTTAGTGAAGTGATAGAAAATTTTAAAAGTATTCATGATAGCTTATGGGTTTGGAGTGATTAATGAAGATGGTATGATTATATTGAATTTTATTTTAGGTATACTAAATTTTATTTTAGTTTATGATTTTATAATTGCTAATATTTTATTTAAGAAATAGGGGATTATCTATTCACTTATAATTTATTCACTTATAATAATGGATATAATAACATTCAGATTGATTATTTTTTTTGCAAGAAAAAAAGATTTTTTAGATTACAAGTTTATATTTTTAATATTGTTAGTTTTAAATTTTAAGCTTGAGGGGTAAAAAATAAAAAATAAACTAAAAAATTATCCTAAATTAAAAGAAAGTATTTAAATAGTATTAATAAAATTATTTTTCAGAATAAAAAAAATAAAAAAATAAAAAAGATAAAAAGCTTTGTTATAAAAAATTGATTTAGGTGTAAAAACTTGAAAAATTGGAATACATTTAGAGGGGATTGTAAGGAGTCTGGGAAATCAATATGTTTGTTGCAAGGAATTTAGCTTTTAGTAATTTATATAATATATATTAAGAAGGGTGTAATATGTATATATAAGCTTGACAAATAAAAGGATATTATAAGTAAGGATTTACTTCAAGTGAAGTATATTAAAGATAAAGTTCAAAAAATAATTTTCTTATAAGAGAATATTTAATATATATGAATGATACACTTTAACAAGCTTTTTAATGAAGATTGTGAAAATGCGATTGACTTCAGCGATTGTATCACCTTAAGTGAAAATTGAAAATTTTGCTTTTGTTGCAGTGTTAGTAAAATTGAAGTTTGAGAGGTTTTATAAAAATGAAGTGTGGAAAAACAGTAAAACCTGACGATATATCAATAGAAGTGTGGAAATTTTCAGGAGATCGAGACTTTTTTGGCTCACTAAACATATTAATATTATTTTAAAGACTAAAAGGATGTCGGATTAATGAAGAAAGAGTGTGTTGATTTATATTTTTAAAAATAAAGGTGATGCATAAGAGTGTGCAAATTATAGAGGAATTAAGTTAATATATCATGAAATATTATAAAAGAGTAATTGAGCATATATTATGATGTGATACTAATGTTTTTCAAAAGCAATTTAGATTCATGCCACGTAGGTCTACTATTGAGTCTTCACATTTGCTGAGAGGTTTGATGAAAAAATATAGAAAGAGTAAGAATGATCTACATATGATATTTATTGATTTAGATAAAGCATATGACAAAATTCTGAGAGAAGAGATTTGCAAAGTTTTTGAAGAGAATGGAGTTAATAATGCTAGAGTTATTATTAGTGTTCAAATATAAGGTGATTTAATCAAGTATTTTCCTATTTCAGTTGAATTATATCAAGGACCGACTTTAAGCCCATGTCTTTTTGCTTCATTCATGGATGTTTTTGCTAGACATTTATAAGAGAGAATACCTTGGTGTGTGCTTTTGCTGATGATATTCTTCATGTTGATAAAATTAGAGAGGGAGTTGATGACAATTTTGAATTATGGAGATCAACCTTTGAGTGTAAATGTTTTCATTTGAGTAGATCTAAAATAGAATACATGAAGTGTAATAGGTCTAGTGGTGGGATTGTGACATTGGGTAATTATGTCATTAAAAAGAGTGCACGTTTTAGATATCTTAGGTCTATTATTCAAAATGATGATGAAATAGATGGGGATATTATTAGTAGAATCCAATTTGGATGGTTGATGTGGAGGAACGAGTTGAGCTTGTTGTGTGATAGAAAAGTACCCCTCAAAGTTAGGGGGAAATTTTATAAGATGGTAGCGAGAACTGTAATATTTTATGGCGTAGAATGTTGGCCACTAAAAGAAAAGCATAAAATTAATCGCTCAGGTGTATGAGTGGCTTTGCAATTAGAGATAATGCAAAATGAGTGTATAAAAGAAAATGTTAGAGTAGCTCGAGTGGCAAATAAAATTAGAGAAAGTCATTTAGATGGTTTTGTCATGTAAAATATCAACCTTATGATGACTTTGTTAGGAGAGTAGATGTATTAGATCCAGTCTCTTTTAAGAAAGGTAGAGGTAGACCTAAAAAAATTTGGTTCGAAAGTATTAAAATGACATTTTTATCAGATTTAAATGAGAACTCACTCTTACAAAAAATAATGAAGAAAAATGATTCATGTAGTCGATTCCATATAGTGGGATGAAAGCTTTTTCTTTTGTTGTTGTTGTTGCATATAATATAAATTAATAATAAATTATATTATATTTATGAGTTTATATGTGAATTAAGTTTTTATGAAATGTGAATTCAATTTAAAGATTGATGGTCTTTAAATTTAAAATTATATAGTGTTATTTGTATATGAAATTTATTTTTTTTACATTTAAATTTAAATTATTATTTAATTATTATATCATTTAGATTTTATTTAAATAATATTAATATTTATTATATCATTCAGTTCAGCCTCGGGTTAATCTTGGCTTAATCATTGAAATTTAAGTCTCTCCTTTTGGAAGTTTTATTTGGTCCGGTCAACCGAATGAGAGAAACATTCGGTCGCAGGCAAAATCCCGCTGTACCTAGGTGTACCGAGTTTTTTGAAAAAAAATCGGTACACCTCGGTATAGCGGGATTTAACTTCAAAAATTAAATCCGGGAGCACCTGAACTCCGATTTCAGCGAGCTTACAGTCAAACTAAGCGTCTCGGAAATACGAACTCAACGACACCAAATTCAACTCAATCTGAGCCCAAATGAGCCCAAATCGAGCACCCGAAGCGCTGTTGAAAAGCTCGTACCACAATTTGAGTTACCAAACAGTCTCCAATTTTAACGAGCTTATACTCGAATCGAGTGGCTCGACGAGACGAATCCAACGAGCCCAAGCGCCGGAACTCTGCCGAATTTTCAGGAAACGCAGGAATTCTGCACAACTTCCATGAGATGCTGAAATTCTTCTCAATTAACGACAGAGTTCCCTCCTGACGCCGAAACTCCGCCCAAGTGATGCCGGAGTTCTCCTCGTCCACCAACAGATGTCGGACTTCTACCCGACACCTGACCTTCACTCTTCGCAAAGTTTCTATCCGATGCCGTACTTCTACTGGTTATCGAACTTTCACTGGACGTATATCCGAATATGGATTTCTTTCCATTGTTGGACTTCTACCTGACGCCGTCCTTCTGACCTTCACCGTCAGACACAGTCCTTGCAGCCTCCCTCGCAAGGCAACTGTCCTTCTGACCTCCGTCGCCAGCCGACTACGGTCATCCTGACTTATGTCGCCCGCCGACTACGGTCCTTCTGACTTACGTCGCCCGCCGACTACGGTCCTGACTTATGTCGCCCGCCGACTACAATCTTTCTGACCTCTGTCGCTCGTCGACTACGGTCCTCCTAACTTACTTCGCCCGCCAACTACAGTCTTTCCGACCTCTGTCGGCCGCCGACTACGGTCCTCCTGACTTATGTCACCTGTCGACTACAGTCCTTCCGACCTCCGTCGCCAGCCGACTACGGTCCTCCTGACTTACGTCGCCCACCGACTACAAGCCTTCTGATCTCCGTCGCCCGCCGACTACGGTCCTCCCGACCAAATGAACATGTCAATAGTGATTCTTTGTATTCATATCATGTAATGTACTCTATAAAATGTACATCAAACTAAGGCCTTCTCCCAAGGAAGGGCCTCATTCGTAATCGATTGCAATACTAGTGGATGCATTCAAACTGGGCTAGGCCCCGTGGTTTTTCCCTCTTTTCAGGAGTTTTCCACGTAAAAATCTTGGTGTATCATAAATGCTAGACCCTCTCTCTTATCTGATTGCGTGCCGGATTTTCGTACAACGCTAAGATGATAAACTTTATATTTCTCTACCGCCACGAATACTCCTGGACGCAACACAAACCACTCCAAATCTTATAAATTGTTGGTGAAGACAGAGAACATTGAAGTACACAACGGAGTTCGAAATAATTTCCCCTAATTTTCCTTATGAAACGAATATTATTCAGTTCATATTCTTCAATAAGAATACAAAACACATTGGCAAACAATGCTGAAATTGTAGCAATACTGAAAGGAAAAACTACAAAGATTTCAATTACAAAAGATTAAAAAAAAAAAAACTGTTCCGACGTGAGGAATGCGTAAAAATTCAAGGATCATAAAGCAATCATCTTGCTTTGGGAAAGTGGTTAATAGCCGTAGCTCTCACTCCTGATCTTTTGTGCCTTCTACCTTTACCTTCCTCTGTCTGCTTTGCATTGTCTTTGATGCCTTCCAGTATTTCAACAACTTCCTTCATTGATGGCCGTTTTTTGGGCTCCTGACTAAGGCATCTAAGCGTGAGTTGAGCTGCTCGAAGAGCTCCTTTTGAAGGATACTTTCCTTCAAGCTTGGGGTCCATCAGCCGAGCCAGTTGCTTCTTATCAGACAGAAATGGCCTGGCCCAATCGACCAAGTTTTGTTGTTCGGCTGGGCGGATCGGGTCGAGTGCTTGCTGACCAGAGAGCAGCTCTAATAAGACAACTCCAAATCCATACACATCACTCTTAACATATAAATGACCTGTTAGGATCACAACAAAATCAAAGTCTTTATCAAGAGAAGGCATTTAGAATCATTAGGAGATGGGTCTACCCATCACTATTTGATTTGAGGTCAAATGAAAATGCAACATTACAGTTCAGTTGATTGCCTAGATTTAATCCAAAAGCAGTGAGAAGAAACTGACTACTATTGCTTATAAACCAGTTTAGATGGTTAAGTGGCCATCAGCTTTAATAGATTCTAAGTAGACTCTGAGTACAGTTTTATTTGTAAAAGATGAAGAAATTTTTTCTCTCTAGCCTTTTCCTTTACAGTTTTATTTGTATTGCTTTGTAATCACAAAGATTAAGCTAGTTTTCAAACCAATATGATACATACCAGTAACAATATATTCAGGTGCTGCATAACCAAATGTTCCCATGATTCTGGTAGTAACATGAGAGTTATCATCTGTAGGTCCATTCTTTGCTAGTCCGAAATCAGAGAGCTTTGCATTGTAATCCTAGGAGAAAAAAAAAATAATTCATGAACTATGTGTATGTCAACGCAAAAATACCTTTTGATAGGGTAAGATAGAAATGTTTTAAATGCAGGAAGAAATACCGAGTCGAGGAGGATATTGGAGGACTTGAAATCACGGTAGATTACTTGTTTCTTTGAAGAATGTAGGAATGCAAGACCTCGAGCGGCATCTATGGCTATCTTTAGCCTTAAGTTCCATGAAAGTGGTGTAAAGGATGACCATCCTACAAAATTTTCATGAAATGATAATTGAAGTCCAACAAATTTTCAAACAAAACAGCTTATCATTTTGATTGGTGTATTTGAAACTTCACTGATACTATTGCCTATCGTTTTAGTTGGTTACGATGCTCGAGCATATCTTATCATGAGGGCATGGCAAAGAAAAACGAGACTTGTTAAAGACAAGTAATTGGAAGTTCATGAACATAAAATTGTTAAGATATTCCTCTTTACAGAACTACGCCATTGCTTCTAATACAGTTTTATTGTGTCATGATAAATATCATTTAAAAAAAATAGCACTCACTTCTAAATAGTTGGTTATCTAGGCTTCCTCTCGGCATGAACTCATAGACAAGGAGAAGCCTCTCGTCTTCCCAGCAATAGCCCAAAAGCTTGACTAGATTGGGATGAGAAAGCCTTCCTAGAAAATTAATTTCTGACTGCAACATAAACAGCATAAAGAAATTAGGCTTGCAAAAGTAACCAAAGAAAAATACAAGTGCATTTCGATCAAGGCTGGCATTCGTTGTTTGGGACAGTTTTTTTTACTGCTTTTTAAAATATTTTTTTAAGTAAAAAATTAAATTATTTGTACTAAAAAGTTGCTTTAAGAAACAGTAAGAAAGCCGTCCCAAACAAAGCCTAAAAGGATATATAATTTAACGTGAAAATGAACATAAAATTGGAGAAAGCAACAAATAAGTCATGTTTTATCATCCTATTCTAGATGCAAAAAAACTGAAGTAATTAAGTTAAATACGAGCAAAGAATGCCATTTAAAAGTAAGCAGAATAAGAAAAACACATCATTCAAATATTTCATAAGAAGTTTGAAAAGCCTTCGAAGCAGTTTTAAACAGGAACATTTGATGAATAGCCACTCATGAATCTGATTACAATCATCAAATTCATCACTCGATCGACAAATACCTTCCACTCTTCGAAGCCTTGCATACTCTCAGAGTTGAGTTTCTTCACAGCAACCACCATCCCAAGTCCAGTTTTTGCAGGAGCCAAAGTTTTCTCATCAACCCAGCCCTTGAACACCTTACCAAATCCACCTTCTCCAAGAACAGCTTCTGGCTTAAAGTTTCTTGTCACACTCCTTAGCTCTGCAAATGTAAATATCCGAAGATTTGACGTTTCTAAAATTCTACCGTCTGGAAATGCATCATCGTTGCTCCCTCCACTGCCTGTGGATTGCTCAAATGTGCTGCTGCTAAATGTTGAGAACTTCCCGGTTGTAGTTGAGCTGCTGCTGCTGCTGCTTGCTTTAGCTGATGATAGCCCTGTGATTGGAAAGAAGGATTAAGAAGAAACAAAGGTGTCGATTATCATATTGAGATATATTATATATGCAAGCTTTTAAATGTAGAAAAGAAATTTGAGTTAGTCTAAACATAGATGAATGGAGACACTTTCAAGTCAAACTGAAGTGTGTATGGTGGGAAAGGAGAAAAAGAGATGCATGCGTGAAGAGCTAGTTTGTTTTGAGTTTAATGGCTGAAATTAAGTGTGTTAAATAAATTTTGTTTGTAATAGCTTTTCAAACTGCTTTATTGGTAAGATAAATAGTTAGTAGAAAAAAAATCTATATTTGAATGATATTTGTTATTTTAAATTTTTGTTTTTTAAAAAGTTATTTTTGATAAGATATTTTTAAAATTATGATAGAGAAAATAGTTTTTAAAAGAAAATTGAAAATTTTTAAACAGCCTCAAATAGGAGAAATTATTACATGTGGAGTCCAAACGACGTAGCTCGCTCCCGTCCTGAATCTAATTAAATCAAGCCACACGTGGCTTGTGCACATCATGTTTATAAATTGTGCATATGGTATGTATAATGAACATCGTCCTATGTACAAACCACGTAGCTTGATTTCATAGGAATCTGGATGTAGTCAGGTCCAAACTCTGTGTGTAATAATTTATCTCCAAATAGAGCCTAAATATATATAGATGAATATACAAATAAAATCAAAAGTAAATTTTATTATGAAAATATGAAAGCTATCATCAATTTTATTTTCTTAGAATATTATCTATATCCTAAATAATTTAACTTAAAATTAAATTAATGATGATTGAAATAGTATATTTATTTCTCTCATAACAATAAATTGAAAAATCATTTTTATGGGAAAAAGAAAAAAAATTCCGTATAAAAAAGAAAACTAACTCGTTGGAGAATTTTCTGAAGAGTAGAAAAAGGCTATCGCCAAACTGAGGCACGACGACCGTTATAAAATAAAGCTTTGCAAAAACAGTCCCCAACGGCAACAGAACCCAAAAGAACTCATTCTAGAAAACCAAAAGCAGTGAATCAAAGCATAATAGAAGAAACAGACAAATCAAACCCCTAAGCAAAATCTGCGTACCTGAAATGGTGTTTCCTTTACTCGCGGACTTATTAGAGGAGCCGAGGCAGTTCCCCATGTCCTCTGACCTTTCTTCTACCTCTGCCTACTTATTTACCCCACCCCTTCCCTTGCTCTTCTTCTACAAAGATCTCTAGGAAGCTTGAGCAGAGATGATCATGGCGGGAATTGGTTGAAGGAAGGAGAGAGAGAGAGAAAGAGAGAGAGAAATAAAAGGAGGAATTTGTTGCTTTATCTTTAATAATGCGACCGTCGAACTATGAAGCTTATAAAAAAATTAAAAACAGAAAAAGAGTTGGGTCTCCTTCTTGCCTTCGTCATGGTCAAGTTAACTTACTGGTTGGGTTGATCCGCTGGTGGACATAGCATTGATGGTTGAAAGAAGAGAGGCAATGGAAAATGGACGCGTCAGGAGTATTTAATGGTTACTTATCGGCCATGCAAGCGTCAATGAGTCATGTCGAACTTCCTGGGAGAGAAAAATCGCCTGTCAAAATCAATGAGAACTTAGTCATTCCGTTCACATTCTTTTCTCTTCTGTTTTTTTTTTTTTTTTCGGAAAATTGAGAGAGAGTGCTAATCAACATTCACTAAAAAATATAAGTACACAAAGATTAAAATTTAAATACAATTTCAATTATATTGAAAAGAGGAGTTTAACTTGGAATGGGAAAAAATATCACTCATTGGCAATAAAACAGTTAAAAAGGAGGGTTTCTTTTTTGTGTGGAAAAATTAGGGGCATTGCCCAATTTTATTTCACTATAAAGAAATAATTATATGAAATCTGAAAAGCCAAAAGTACAACTCAATTGTGTGACATGGAATAGGATTGAGTTGTGATAAAAAATAAAGCAATGCTCAAACAAAAAATAGAAACCAAAAGCCAAAATACAAATTAGGACAACAAAATGTAGACTATGGATTAAGGGAATTACATCATAACTCAATCCAAAAATTACGTGTGATCCATCCAATAACAGTCCAGCAATCCCCTGATTCAATAGGAGCCTTCTAAAGTCAATCAATTAAGAAAAATTTTGGTTTCGACGGGGGCCACCAAAAGAGAGTTAGGTGAGAAAAATATATTCATCATCGTCCACAAAAACTCCCAACAGTGACCACATTGATCAAAATTTACAAAAACAATTAAACAATCGTTCTTGTTCAGCTCATGTCGAATGAAGTGATGCAGGCATGCCAAACAAGAAGAAGCCAGAAACATCAAAACAAATGTTATTAAGTCTATACATACCATTTAATTGATAAGTTGTTGCATTGAACTCGAATTCTTCCAAACGGAAGTCTTATAATAAAAAGTTTTTTAAAAAAAAAAATTTTGCAGAAGTAGTAGAAGCACTTTCAATTGTATTGTTGAATCTCCTCGCATTACTCACCCTCCAAATCTAAGCAAGAAGCAACCAAGAAGAAGTAAAATGTTTCCTCATTTCCAAAATGATCCATAAAAGAAATGTAAGAGTAAAGTTTTATAAGGCTCAACCTAAGAATAAAATGTGAAGCCCACGGGAGGAGAGAGGAAATTAATGATGCAAAAGGAATGATGGCATTCAAAAAATAAATGAAAAGCAAACTCCTCAAACTCAAAACAGAAGCTATACGTAAAGGTTGAGCATGATTATTGCGTTTAATCAAAGCATCAATGTTTTTTAAACCACTAACCAAGGAAAGTAATGCTTAGACAGAGAACCCGAGGGAGAATTTCTTATGCTAAATGAAAGAATGTTATGAAGTATGCTGGTGAGATTGATAGAAATTCTCAAGAAAATTTGTAAAAATGGGATTCTTGTTACCCTTCCAAAAGAGACAGTTTACTTAATCATCAGAGGCAGGATCATCAAGAATAGCATTAACAATGTCATGGGCAAGAGTAGTTGAGATAATAAATAAAGTTAGAAAACGTAACCTCCGGAGAAAAATGATGATTTGCAATCAGCTTCTCTCTCTCTCTCTCTCTCTCTCTCTCTCTCTCCCCCCCCCCACACACACACACACACACGCGCGCGCGCGCGCGCAAAATAAACTCTTTAGGAAGGCAAGATTTTCTCCATCAAATAAGCTGTAGCTTCCTTTTCTCAAAAGCCCTATGAAAAAGAAGCCTAGCACATGCCTTATCAATTAACTTACAACAACTTTAAGTCATAATTGAACCCCTTATCCAATAAGCAAAATTATTCCATATAGTCAAAAGAATAAACTACAGTCTACTTGTAAAAGATAATAATTTGGCTTTCCATCCAGCTGAATGATTGATAATTTTCTAAAGAAGGGCTTGGAAACATATATGAGAAGCCTCTTAGAAGAAATGGGTATATTTATAATATTGCATATGAGATAGGAGTTCAATTATAACAAGTACTTAAATGTTGTTTCAATATTTTGGATATTTAGAATATTGCATATCTTAGAACAATTAGAAGAACGTTTAGAAAAAGTCCCAGCATAAGAAACAACCCCAAAGTCATTCAGAATTTTTTGTCAGTATAAGAATATTATCTCTAGATATTTCATCAAATATGAGGAAGTCGTCCACATACAAAAAGGTGAGAAATATTTGCCTCCCATCATGCAAACAAATAAAGGAGTTAGGCCAGGTGAATTATCCAAATGGTTAGATAGCCCATCCATCGCAATATAAAAGAGATAAGGGGTAAAGGATATGACTATGTTTAAACCCTATTTTGATGCAAAATAATCTTAAAGAGCTTCATTAATGCAAATAAACAAATTAACATTAACAATGTAATATTGGACCCAAGAGACAAATAGAGGAGGCAAACCTTTTTAAAAGCATTCTTTGAAAAAGAAAAATTCTTGAAATAATATCAAAAGCTTTAAAAATGTCAAGCTTAGCACAAAAAAGTATTTTATTGCCAGACATGGATAAAGTCCTAAATAATTCAGAGGCAAGAAAAATGTTATTTAGAGCTTCTCTCTTGAATAAAACTAACTTGAACTATGCTGATGATAATAAGTATGACCTCTCTAAGCTTATTTCCAAGAATCTTTGCAATAATCTTATAAAAAGTAGTACATAAAGATATCAGCCTTTAATGAGAAACACTTTAAGCATGAGATTTCTTAGGAATAAAGAATAAAGTAGAGGCTTTGACCCTATACTTCAAATAGGCATTAGGAAAAAAATACTTAATAAATTTACAAACATAAAAGCCAATGCTTCCTCGTGTATACTTATAAAACCATCAGGGCCAGGAACAAAGAATCTAGGAGCAAAAAAAGAACATTTTTTTTTTCAAAATTATTGCAAGGATATGTGAGAGCAGGAAGATGGTGATGACGGTGGCCTTCACTATAGGAAAATTGTCATTTTTTGTCAGCCATTTCCGTCGAAAAATGAATGAAATCTATGGGTAATTTAAATTTTCGACATATTTTTGACTATAAATCACGCATCACAAAATAAATACCATCAAAAATAATTTGCGTGAAATATTTCTAGCAAATTTTCCTCCATAAATTGCTTAAAAAATTAGCCGAGCAAGCCCATGAATTAGGCCCGCTCTGCACTTCGTGGGTCGTGAACCAAGTCTGCCCATTAACCGCAATATGCCCGCATGTGAAACGCAACAAGTCATCCCATGAACCGGGCCCATAAACCAGGTCCCCCTCCTACTATTCTACGGGCCCATGAATCAGGTCCGCCTACTACTCTGCCAGCCCGTGAACTAGCTAGGCTCGCTCGCTACTCCACCCTACCTGTGCTGCGTGGGGTTCGACTCCCTCCCACTTCAAACACTCCAAATAATGTTATTTTTGTTATATTTTTTATTTAAATTATACTTTCTTAATAATTATTTTTAATACATAATAACTTTATATTATTTAATATGTATTAACAACATATATTAGATTATATAACTAATTTATTTTAATTAGTTAAATAACAATAATAATTATTATTAAAACATTTTTATTATTTTAGTTTAACAATACTTTATTTAATTAATTTAATTAATTTAATTTTACAAAACAAATTTTTAAAAAATAAGAATAAATATTTTACAAAAATATTAAAAATTGTGTCAAAAATTTGTTGGAAATTCCATGAAAAATTCCACAAGAAATTTACCTAAAAATTCATAAAAAATATGCCAAAAATATGACAAAATTTCTAATGAATTTATTTATGCTGGAAAAATCGTCGTATATTGGCATTTTTCTTGTAGTGTTTCCCCACAGGAATGAAGGATAAATCATTGGGACAAATTTTGGATGAATTGAAGAGTCTTTTAAAGTGGTGAATGATAGCATCACAAGTCGCATTGTGCTCAGAAACTTGACCATCAATAGTAGTTCTTTTATGTGATTGCAGCTCCTTCTAAATTTTATTCTACAATACATAAACTGCAAATCAATATCCTCTCCAGATGAGAGCATATTTTTCTTAGATCTCTTAAACACCCAAGAATTTCAAGAGGAATAAAAGGCATAGAGAAGCCTATTAATGTTCTTCATAGAACCATTCAGCCATTGATTTGAGGGATCCAGTTGAATATGTTGAAGAACCATATCTTGTTGCTTTAGGAGAGCTGAAATGCTAGAAGTTAAATGATTGGAGGAAGCCCAAGACTTACTTTTAATGGCCTTTTTTAAAGGGGTTGGAGCTTCAAGTAGAGAGCATAAATGAGATTACCAAGGTGGGATTGATAAAAGGAGGTGTGCAAAGCATCCCAAAAAGCACGGAGCTTGGTCCAGTAATTCCTAAAGAGAAATCTATAGGCACTTTTAGGTTGAGGTTTTGGTTTAATGTGAAGAACCAAGGGAGCATGATCATAATAATTAGGGTTCTCAACGTGATAAAAGGATATAGGATAAGAAGACACCCAAAGATCATTCACCAAAGCTTAATGTGAATAGGATTTTCAGATCTTTGATTAAAACATGTATAACATAGAATAATAGAAGCCAGTTCATGAAGATAGTTAACAAAAATCATATTGTTAAGAAAACCAAATTTATTGAAACGCACATAGTTACCACCCACCTTTTCCTCATTTTCCTGCAACTATTGAAGTGATCCCCCATCAAAATATAGGGGTGACATGCATTTTTCCCAATGCTAATGAGTTGCTGCTACAAAAGATCCCTATCAAAGGCATATATTACAAAGATATCAAAATTTGAACCAAAACTAGCAAGAATGCTCCCACGAATCAATTGGCTTAGGGTGAAAGTGGGGAAGAGGTAAAATTGGATTTATTTTATTTAATCCAAATTTTGCCATGAATAATACAATGAAAGTTATTACAGGTACTTTCATCATAAAAAAATTCATGAGTTTTTGAAAACCACTAGTCATTCATAGAAGCAAGCGAGACTTTGGCTTCAAGAATGCAAACCATATCAATCTTACAAGAATTAACAAATTGTTTACTCGAAATAGCCTTGATAGAGTCATTAAACCACTAATATTCTAGGTGGCAATATTAGGATAGGTCATTTTGTTTTGGTTTGCTACCTTTTTGGTATATTGGGATCATGTATTTTTTTATTATGGTAACTTGAGGGCAATTGGGTCGTTGGTTACATTTGAAATTTTTATAGAAGTAGCATCCATCTGGCTTAAGATATATTAAGTGGGAATTAAATGCAAATTTGGTATAATTAATTATATTATTCAATCTTAATCACATTGTACGATTAAACAAGTTTATTTTTCATTATTTTTTTTACTATTTGAAAAATCGTACTCTACAATTATCGAATTAGACTACATGATCAACCCATATTTTTTCTAATTGTTGAACTTTGCTTTTATCCTTAAGTGCTTTGCATATATTCCTTGGGCTTAATTATGTTGGTCAAGGAGTTTGGTGGAACTCTTATTTCTCTTCTTCCTTGTGCTCCCTTCCTCCCCCCAGAGACTATTTATAGTTTTTTTAGAGTGACATGTACAGTAAATATGAGCAAGATCAAGTATATATTGGGAGTAGTTTGAATGGACGGCCGATGTTGAATCCCTTGTTCATGGATCGTTTACCATACATTTGAATGTCTTAATGATATCATAATTTGGCGATCTTGGGCTCATTGAATTTTTCTCGTCGAGCCGCTCGATTTGACTATAAGCATGTCACTTTTGGAGACCGTTTGGTAATCCAAATTATGATTTGAACCTTCTAAATGTGCTTCGGGTCTTTGATTTGGACTTATTTGGGCTCGAATTGAGTCGAATTGGTTTCGTTGGGTTCGTATTTTCGAGACATTCAGTTTGACTATAAGCTTGATGAAATCAGAGTTCAAATGAACCCAAATTTAAATTTTGAAGTTTCCAACTTGATTTTGCTTCGAGATTCGTGCCCCATCAACATAATTTTTTGATGATATATCATATATGAATGATCGTTGCTTGAAATTGGATATGAATGGGATGAATAAAAAAGAATAGGACATGAATAGTTATTTAACAATAATGTTTTGGCTCAAAGGAATAGATACTAAGTAGTTTGGCTAATCAATAATTAATTAATAAGATGTGGTTACTAACTATTTGGTTCCGGATATCTAAAATTGTTTGACTCCCAATTTCTACAACTATTGGGTTCCCTACTAAAAATTAACACTGAATAATTCTGTAGTCAGAATTTATTAATAAAAATGAGTAAGATTTTATTTATAAAATTAATATGAACTTGTAATATGCAGGTGTGAATAATTTTTTTTAGTATAAATATGAAAGGATAAAAATGAAAGTCAAAGTAATATAGATACATCATAAAAAATAAAAATAAAAAACTAAAGGATCAAGATTTAAAATTTTAAATCAAAGATGAAGATTTCATTTTAGAATTTATAATAGTATTATAGATAAATGACGATAAATTTGAATGGTTGATATTTAAAATATTAAGGGTTAAATGTGTGGTTAAAAATTTATATTGAAAAAAACTCAAGTCATTTTTATAATATTAATATAGATAGAATATATTTATTTTGATTTAATTATTTAATCATAGTCATATAATATGTAAAAGTTATTACCAATTGAATATTAATTAATGAATTTAATTATTGATAATTAATTAAAAATAGTTATTACTTTAAATATTTGTAATTTCAAATTCTGTTATATACAATTGCAGATTTCTAAAATAATTAATTAAAATTTATACTTTAATTTTTTTTTTAATTTTAAAAATATGGATTATGAAAATTAAAGAATTTTGACTATTATTAATGAATGAATTATATTATTAATTGTTAAGATAGGTATAAATTAAAAATATAATACAAATAAATATAATAATTATTTTGTATTTAAATCTAGAAATAAATGCTATTAAAATCTTTAGCATTTTTAACATAAGCTCTTCCTTATATTCAATTAATGTAAATAAAATAAAATAAACATCATGCATTTAATTAAATATAAAGTTAAAAAAAAATAAATTAAACATATAAATAAAATAAATGTTTTGAATTTATCTATGAGAAGTAAAATAAAAGGCTAAAATTATAATTGAGAAGAAATTTAAATGCCATGTGTGTGTATTTATATATGTATAATGATTTTAATAAACTGATTCTATAAAGATTTTAAAGTAAGTTTATTTAAGAGGGAGAAAATATATAAGTGCAAAAGAAAAACAAAAGTTCTTTTGGCCGTAAAGCGCAATACTGCAATTGTATATAACAGAATTTGAAGTTAAATATGAATTTTTAAATTTCATGACCAGAATCTGAAAAACAAGCATGTAGAAATACTGAATGGATTAATCAAGTTACTGCTTCTATCATTTTTGCTTCCTTGTCCATCTACCTTATTTAAGGGTCTTCATTTTGCAGTGTGCAAATCATTTCAACAGAGCAAGGTTATTAAACCTCATAGTAAACTTAAACAGAAATTCGCTGTAACAAAAAGGAAAAATATAGAATAGATGTGATCAAAGTATGGCTGTTAATTTCACCAAGAGATCATTTACTTCAGGATAAAGCACCCCATGATAAAACAACCAACTCAGTATGCATGCCATTTATCCAGAATAATAAGATTAAAGGGTCGGGAGTTTGACAAAAAGACATGAAAAATATATGATAAAAACATCCTCAGGAAGAGAGAGAGCACGATGGAACAGATTAAACTCCCTAAAATATTAGAAATCTAAGGGACAAGAAAAAGATAAGGGCACAAGCTATTCATGCCAATGCTCATATCAATCAATGCGTTCAGTGCTTGAACCTCGACTCTGCCCTCCTTGCATCCTCTGGGGTTGATGGAAACAGTTCCACATATCTCGATCCAATTGTCATTTTGTCCTTGGACATTGCCTTCTTTGCAACTTCAGCTGATGCAAACTCTACATAAGCTTCCCCAGTAACCTTCCCATCCGGGCGGCGAACAATCTGCACGTTCCCTTCCTTCACATCATAATCTCGAAAGAAGTCGACAATGTCCGTCTCCGTTGCAGAATACGGAAGCCCGCGAAGCTTGAGAACCTCAGTATAATCCATTTGATCCTTGTCATCATAAGTCTTCTTCAAACGAGGTGCTGGTGAGCCGCTTCGATGTTCACCGTCAAATGAGCCACCATTGTTCACCTCCTCAGCTATGGCATGATAATATTCCTGTTTCTTGGACTGAAAGACCTCAATGTACCTGCGTCCCATGTTCTGCCTATTTCGCTGAAGGGCAAACTCTCCCTGCATTGGAGAAGAAAAGACAACAAAGGCCTCACCTGAAAAGCGCCCGTTCTTGTTCACCAGCAAGCAATCCACGACATCCAAACCAGCAAAAAATTTGTGGACTTCAAGCTCATCACAGTTGAAGGGCAGGCCACGCAGACGAACCACAGGGAAGCTGTAGGCACTGCTTCTGCTTGGACCTCCGCCATAGTTCCCATATGCTGAAGCATAAAATGAGCCAGCACCAGCCCCTCCAAAATAGGGGCTTGATTCGAGCATCCTAGGGCGCTTTGAGGCAGCAGCAAAGTCGTAGCCGTCTGAAACCCCTCCACCGCTCACTGCGAAGTAGGGATTGGATTCCATCATTCGCTGTCTCTTTGCGCCCTCGTACCCGTCCGTAACCCCCCCGCTTCCCATCATTGCCCTTCATAATATCCAACATCCCAAAGAAAGAAAAAAAAGGAGATGGTACCCCCTAACACTCAATCCCCATTTGAAAATTTGAATCCTAGTAATCACTAGAATTTCACCCTAGTGGCTATCTAACTAGCTGGAGTAATTTATCATGCTTTACTATAGTATAGCAAAATGCAAAATAAACAGCAGAAAGGTGAAATAACAGCATGATTCCTCCAGGAAATTCATAAATTTAAAGAATAAAGAGAACAGCGCAGAAAAGCAAGTAGTTCAAGATGTAAAGTTTTAAAATTATCTAATTAAATGAATTCTCAAGAATATTAGAGAATATTTTCTCAGAAAGGGATGGTTAAGAATTACTTTTCAACAAAGACATCATGCAAGAATGCAACATTCAAACAAAGAAGAATAAACGTCAGCAAGTTCATATACTGCAGAAAAGTAATCAATGGAAAAGAAAAATGTTTAGTGGGACTGCAAGTAGACTAAAATCACACTTAAACAACTTCAAAAGTTTACCTAATGCAAATCTGCCACTAATGCATTTCTTCAATGCGGGTCATCAGAGTGCAGATTAATAATTACATAAGCTTTCAGACAATTAAAAGTTTGCAGCACATAGACCGTCACCCAAAACAACTAAAATTTGCAATTCTTAGTCTCCATTTTTTTTAAAACTTTTTAATTAGTAGATTAGCTAAAGGGATCCTTGGTTTCAACCCATGGTCATCAGGAAACCATATTGGAAGTCTCCAACCATTGCCGCTGCTTTAACCAAGCATCTGCGTGATAAGTCAGTATCTTAAACCAACAGAAGTGGACTAGATAGAGGCAACAACAACAGAAGTCGGAGAGCTAATGATAAAAAACGCAAGGCCAAATAGTGGCAGATATTGTGACAACTAGTTCGTGAACTTATTTGCTTCAGCAAAAAGTTGGTATTCAAAGTTAACAAATTAGAGTATAAGACAGGAAAAGCTACTACGTTAATTGGTTGAACAGATTGATTACTCGTTACATTGGTTTCTATAGCTCCACAAATAGAAGAATATGCGTGCATTGGCTCGTCTAAGCATACACATAAGACATGCAGTGAAGAGATAGTGATGAAACTACAAAAAAATTGGGTTTCAGACGGCTACAACTTTTATGTCCGTGTAAGCCCCCATTGATGCATCTGCTTCAAAGATCAAAAGCTTGAGTAAGCACTCCACCATTTACAAGCATCTATTTCATCTAATCAATAGCTTCTCCACTTTTTTTTTTCCATTTTTTGTCTTTATGATTTTTCTTTTCTTTTTGCTTGTTTAGATTTATTTTTGGTCTATACATTTACTTAATTTATTGGAATAAAGATAACAAAACCCGACCTAAAAATTTCATGTTCGGGTCAACATGTTTGCCATTCGGGTTGGGTTCGTGTTCGAGATTCTGACCCATTTTTAAACTGAGTCGGATTCGGGTTGACCCGGAAACCCGAAGGTGACCCGAATTGACCCCGATACCGCTCGCGACCTCCTACCCCCACGCTCGCAACCACAAAGGCCACTAGTCGCGTTCTACCTCTCGCGGTCCCGTGCTCGCGTCCACACCCTAACCCAATCCGGTGCCCACGCTCGCGTGACGCGTCTGCACCAAGACGACTAGATCATCAGCTCCCCTGCGCCTGATCCCGCACCCTAGCTGGCTCGCTCACTCGCAAACCCTTCGCCCGCACGCGCCGGCGCATCATCACTCAACACGAAAAATTCCATGTTAGTGGGTCGGGTCAACTCGATAACCCGACGGGTCGGGTCCAAGTCTGAAGTATTGACTGGTTTACAAAACCTCGGGTTAGGGTCAACGTTTGGACTCGGGACAATTCCGAGTTCGACTCGAAGCCGACCCAAATACCCATTTTGACATCCCTATCAAACCCTTTTAAGGCACTACTTGTAATGGAAAAGTAGTAATTTTGAAGTTAATTTATTAAAAAATTTTATCAAATCTCTTAAAGTCAACAAAAGATCTCCTATCCCATAATAAAAAAGTTTTTAACCATATATTTGAAAACTTAATCTCATATTTGCAATAAATACGTCTCATATCTTGTAAATATTTAAATTACAAGAAACTTGGCTGCACAAAATTAATAGTCAAGTCATTAACATATTCTTTGTTGACATTGTGAACAACTACAATCAAAATTAGGCCCAAAGTTTCTCTTTCAATCTTCTAAAACAAATTCTATCATGTCTAACTTTTCTATCATTTATTATACATGTTCAAGCTATTTGAGTCTATTTTCAATTACCTTATCTTCAATACAAGTCACTTTAACTACTTTGATAAAATCAATCCATAATTTATCCTTCGTAAATTTGCTTCATATTCATTTTAAAATTCTCATTTTCACCACACTCAACTCAACAAGCAATGACTTTTTATTGCCTAACACTCACACCCATATAATTGTACCTTATAAAATTTTACTTTTAAGTCTCCATGATAACCTCTTAACACATAATACTCCTTAGGCACTTCTCTATTTTTTTCCACTCAATATTAACTCAAAAAATAATAAATGGATACACATTCACATTATTTTGCATAATAAATTCAACATACTTAAACATATCACACTTAAGTATTAATTTATCTTCTAATATTTGATAATTACTAACATAAATCTGAAATTACATATCATACTCAATATTTGGTGTACTAATTCAAATGCACTTATCATCTATATGCCTTCTCTATTACTCTAACCAAGGTTTAAAAAGGCGAAATCAGAATCGAGGCATTTTATCGAAGCGAGATAAGGTGTAAGCCTCGAGGCGGATTGAGGCATAAGCCTCAAACCAAAAAATTAAATAACTAAAAAAATTATAAATAACTCATAAAAATAAAAAATATTAAGAAAATTATAAATATAATGACTTGTTTAAAAGAAAATGCTACTTAAACACAAGATTCAAAATAAATACTCCTAGTTTGCCTAAATATCTCAAAGTTTTCATGCTAAAGAAGGTTTAAAACACATAATAGTTTAATTTAGCATCTTAAAAATGGGAGAAATAATTTCAAGAATTGTACTTTTGATGCAATTTAAAACATCAATTATTCATGGGTTTTAGGAGGTCCTTCCGCTTTGCATAAAGTTCTCCAATTTTTTTATTCTGCATAATTTTGAACAAACAGAGGCATAACTTCTAATATCTAATTAATAGAAAAAGCAATTTATCTAAGTATAATTTTGTACCATTTTTCTGCTGCTTCTATAATATGCAAAAGCTATGTTTCATTACTGCTAGGCACATCCAAGTGCTATTGAGGAATGCATAAATTGAATTAAAATCAAACTTTGAAATAATATTTATACTACTGATCAGATAGTTCAAGATAATAAAAATTCAACTTCGCACAAAGCAGGTGAAATAGGTCAAAAGGAAAGAAAGCTCCTTACCTTCACAATTCAAATGACGCAAGTGAAGCCAAAGCAAAAATTGAAAGGATTGTTACGTTCACTACGACTCCTATTGGAATGAAACTTTCAAAGCTCTACTTCTCATGAAGTAGACGAAGTCGACACAGGGTCAAAAGGGAAGCAAGATCATTACCTTTTCTACGACAAACTCAATCTGACACAAAGAAGCGAAGTTGAAGCAGGCAAAGCCGAAGTAGTTTACACGAAGCAAGAGATCGTTACCTTCGCTGAGAAGAACCAAAAGAGGCAAAGAAACTTCTTGAACAATTTTGTAAGCAACACTAAATCTAAAATGAGGCAGACCTAAATCTAATACGCGCAACTAGGCCGAATTATATTATATATAAAAAAAACACCAACAATTGAAACGAGGTAGGTGGCTAAAACTGTCTCGAGGTGTACGCCTCAATGAAAAAAAGTGTGAACCTCGCCCAAACTGGTGAGGCTTAAGCCTCAAGGCGTTCAAGCTATGCCTCGAGACGTACGCCTCAAACGCCTTTTTAAACCATGATTCAAACATTCATTTATTTCAAAAAATATCTCATTGATTATAAGTATATCACATGCAAATAAACATAAATCAAGACACGTCACTTTTAATATCTTTTGTAAACACATTAATAACCAATACAAAAATATATTAACTCATTGCTAATCTTTGATGTAATCCTACAATAAATGAAAACTTCTTTATCACTCAATAACTACTAAAACTAATGAGGGCACTTTAATATATATCCTAATAATTTCATAGATTTGACATACATTTCTTTCTTAAAGTGTCCCATATTCATTCTTATGGTGATCGATTATATCTTTTCAAGATCAATAAAAGTAATAGCAATACTCTCTCTTCTCCCTATACTTTTTCATTAATTGTGTTAACACAGATTGCTTCTAAAGTCAATTCTTTCTAGTATGAAATCAAACTGATTTATCAAATTAATATAATTTTTTAAGCTAAAGTTTCATTACTCTCTCACATAGTTTATTATATGGCTCATAAATTTTAAATACTGTATAATCAACACAATCTTTAATATTTCTTTTTTTCAAATGTTTCTACTACTATTTTTTTACATTCTCTTAATTTTCAAAATTCCATTGAAAATATTTATTAATTAAACAAAATTAATATTCCCACAATGTATAAAACTTCATATGTATCTCATAAAGTACCTAACATTTTACCTTTATGCTTTTTGTTCATAGCTAAAATCATTTCATTTAGGTGATCAATCTATAATAAAACTCAAAAAAAATAAAAATTAAAAATTAAAAAAAAATCTATAATAAAACTCACTGCTTTGATTTTTATGCTTTTCCAAAATATTTTTTTACTCGCAATCATCATTTAATAATTTCTCAAAGAGCATTGCCACCTTTTCTTCATGTTATCCTTAACTAAGATTATATGATATTTCATACCAATGCATCTAACTTCAACAAAGTTCCTAGATATTTTTCTTCTTGTATTGGTTAGTCTATAAATCTCTTTTTCTTCTTCATTAGTACAAAGCCTATTATTAAATTCATAAGAAATAGTCGCTTTTACATTGCTTTCTACATATTTCGAAAGCCTTCTAACTTTTTTATAATCATTATAAGCATCAATAATATTCAGTTTTTGCCACTCTACAAAAGTATTTTTTCTAATAATCTTTGGCACATTCTCACTCCACTAAATTAACTTTTTAAGTGTACAATCTATTTCTAGACTTCAAAACATTACAACAAACTAATCTTATATACAAAAATATCAAACCTTTTCATATCATGATTGTTCAACAAGTTTTGCGATGGTTGTCAACTACACCATAAATCATCTTATCATACATAAAATTTAGGTGAAATAAAGAATTGCAATTAGCCTCTCTTAACAATGTGTTCTAAAGGATTAACAATCTAAGTACTAAAAAACATCAAACATTTTCATGTCATGATTATTCAACAAGTTTTGCGATGTTGTCGACTCAACCCTAAATCATCTTATCATACATAAAATTTTGGTGACCTAAAGAGTTAAGATTAGCCTTTCTTAATAATGTGTTTTAAAGGATTAACAATCTAAGTACTAAAAAAACAATCAAAACATCTAATTTTACCAATATAAGGTGGTAGTGATTTGTTAATGCAAGAAAATAGGGCTAACGATGATAATTCACAGAGTTTACTTGAGAAGAACTTGTCTATGCAAAAAAGATCCCAACAGATTTTGGTATCCATAAAACCACTTTTTTGTTAATAAAAAAAATGTATCAGGTAATCAAGTCATCAAGTTCCCCTCATATGAATGACATCAAATTTTAGCATACCTCAACTTCAACAAGAGTCGGAGGACAATAAGCTTATGATAACCTTGTTAAATTAAACAAGTGCATAATAATGGTTGAGCTGACAACTCCAAGAAAACTGAATCAGCAAATAAATTTACATGGGACTTGAACTGTTATGTAGTCCTCCAATTTCTAAACAAAAAAGTACAAAAAGCTAAGAATCTTAGGCACTTTGAAGATTAGATCATATTAACGTTATCTTACTAATATTTGTTATTTGCTTTGAAAATAGCTTATCATGTCCAAAATTTACAAGACACAACTTCACTTTTGTTGCAAGGTTATCAAGATGTTTCAAGCAGCAATCAATGTAGCGTCAACTGAAAAAAACAGGTTTGCCACACACACAAAAGCCCTATTAATAGCAAACACCAGCCAGGTCAAGATTCCTTTTGTCTTCTACAGTCTATTTTATGCTTTGATAAATCATGAAACAAGTTTAGGAAGCATGTCAAGGTGAAGCAGAGAAGTTATTTGTTGCCTTCAAGCACAAGTGGCCCTATTTTAAAACATGCAGGAAATATCATCATGGGAGCTTTCTGTCTTTTTTTGAAACTACACCAGTAAACCAAGACCCAATTGCCACAAATATTGCAATGCAAAATAATAATTACTCCGTTACAAAAGTCAATTGTTGTATTCAGTATATAAACCTAAACTTTATGTGCGACCCAATCAAATAACTAATATCTCTTATACTTTCATATAACAATTTTATGATACAAACCAACCAAATCTTTGAAAAGAAAAAAAAGGAAAATGAAAAGAAACAAAAACAAGCAATAAAAGCCATGGTCATCCTTTTGTGTTGGAATTCAAATTAAAAACACCAAGGACATTACTCCTTAAGCTTATAAACATTAAGACAAAGCTTGCCTCCAATGTCGACTAGTCTATGCTTGTCACAATCAGATTTTGATGTATTTTAAGCTGTTATAAAAGAATCTGGTCTAGGCCTTTGTTATTCACAAAACAAAATAGGCTATGGTAAAGGGATATTTTTCAAATAATCAAAGAAAGAAACAGTTCAAAAAGGAACATGCTCCAGCACGTCAACAACTTACACCCAACTTCCCTTAGCCCTTTGTGGTTTCTAGTGGTAAGGTGACGGGAATTCCTATGACACTGCAAGTTATATAGATCAAGCTTAATAATAAGAGTTCACTACTCACTCTATCCGGAACCCAAGGAAGCACCTCCACCCTATATACGAAGCACCACAAGCAACCTCTAAAATAAGTGTTTCAAGCATCTTAATTTTTATGCATATGGTCACTAAAGACGCCATGACTGACATCTTGGCTAACAGCTTGTTTTGTTGAGTGGCCTGCAAGCAACAAAACTAGATTTTTGACGAAAAAAAGGGCCTCTGCTAGGTAATATAAATCTGATAGACCAAAAAGGCTTAATAAAAAAAAAAACATACACTCTGGATTAGTATCACCATTGATCTCTAAGCAAAAACATTTGAAACGAAAGACAACCAAAATAAAAGAAAAAAATTTCTTACCTATTGTGAGCTAATGGTTTAAATTCTATAACCAAGGATCGCCTATCCCACAGTTCTCTCAAAACCCAAACTTAGATTTCTTATAAGCAACCCATCACTCAAAACAAGAAATAATCTCTTCAGGAAACTCCCTCTGTGCCAGAACCCACATGTCCAAATCCAAAACTACCAGCAACGAAATAAATCAACCAAGGTCAGAAAAGGTTAAAAAAGATGTTTTAAAAAAATCAACCCACCAAAATAAAATGGAACCAACCAAAGAATGCCTGGAGATAAAGAATAACAAGACAAAAAAGAACTAGGGCTTCTGTTTGTTTCTCTTACCCCCTTGACCTGTACATGGTCTCCGGCGTTTCTTCTATTCAGCAGAAATTTGAAAGAAACCGTCTTCTCCGAGCCGAACCCTCGAAATAACTTCGCGACGCTGAGAGAGTAGAGAAATGGAGCTAGAAAAAAACCCTAGAGACAGTCTGCGCTTTATATCGCTCTATTTTATATTAATGTTTATTTCTGCGGATTCCCAGCCAAGCCGGTAAGTGCTAAAAGCCGATGCAGGCAATACGGGTCGGATCCGAATTTATTGCGGCATAATTTATTTTTGTAAGGAGAAAATTTTTGAGAAAAAATATTACTGCCTATTATAGAAGTATTATTTTATTCTGAACATTTATAGAAAGAGCGTGGTTTAAATTTTAATTAGTTTTGTTGCGTCCTAGAGCATTCACGAGGGTAAAGAAATATAAAGTTTAACGTCTTATCATTGTACGAAAATACGGCACGTAATCAGATAAGAGAGGGAGTGCACCATTCACTAGAGATACCAAGTTTTTTACATGGAAAACCCCTGAAAAAATGGGGAAAAACCACGGGGCATGGCCCAATATGAATGAATCCACTAGTATTGCAATTGATTACAAATGAAGCCCTTCCTTGGGGGAAGGCCTTAACTTGATGTACATCTTATAGAGTACATTACATGATGAGAATACAAAGCATCCTATTTGATGTGTTAGTTTGGTCTTAAGGACTGTAGTCGGTGTGCGACGTAAGTTATAAGGACTGTAGTCGGTGGGCGGCGGAGGTCAGAAGGACTGTAGTCGGTGGGCGACGTAAGTCTGAAGGACCGTAGTCAACAGACGATGAAGGTCGGAAGGATTGTATTCAACGAGCGACGTAAGTCTGAAGGACAGTAGTTGGTGGGAGACGGAGGTCGGAAGGATTGTAGTCTGACGATGGAGGTCAGAAGAATGACGTCTGGTAGAAGTCCATCAATGGACAGAAATCCAACATCAGATAGATGTCTGGTGAAAGTTCGATAATTGACAGAAGTACAGTGTCAGGTAGAAATTTGGCGAAGAGCGGAGGTCCAACATCAGGTAGAAGTCCGACGTTAGTTGGTGGCCGATAAGAACTCCGGCGTTAGATGATATTCGGGGAGAACTCTGATGTTACTTGGAGTTCTGGTGAAACTCCGACATTACTTGGAAGACGGGCGAAATTCCAACGTCACTTAGAGGTCGGGAAAAATTTCGGTGTCACTTTGAAGTCGGGCGGAATTCTGACGGTGGTCGAGGAGGAGTTTCTTCCCTCATATCCTTCTCTTCTTCTTCTTGCTTGGGCCCTCCTTTCTTTGGCTCTCCCCTCTCATGAGAAATGAGATGTCTATTTATAGATATTCTGTAGTGACATAGCTTGTAAATATGTGAGAGATCAGAGGTAAATAGGGAGTGGTCGGATGGACGGCTGATATTGAATCCCTTGATTATGCACTGTTCATCAGATATTTGAAGGTTTTAATGATGTCGGAATTCAGCGATATTGATCTCGTTGGATTCATCTCGTCGAGCCACTCGATTCGACTATAAGAACGTCATATTTGGAAACTGTTTGATAACTCAAATTATGGTTTGAACTTTCAAAATGCGCTTCGGGTGCTTGATTTGGACTCTTTTGAGCTCGGATTGAGTCGATTTTGGTGTCATTGAGTTCGTATTTCTGAGACGCTTAGTTTGACTATAAGTTCGCTGAAATCGGAGTTCAGGTGATCCCGAATTTAATTTTTAAAGTTTCTTGCTTGATTTTGCCTCGAGATTCGTGCTCGATCAAGATAATTTTTTATGAAATATCAGTTTCCCCCCTCTATTTTCGGACATCGAAGCTCCAGGAGTCCAAAAATATGCGTCACAAACTTTGGAGAATTTTTCATATTATTTGAAATCCAATCTTGCGTGTAGGAGTCCCGAATAACTTTAAAAGACCAAAATTGAGTCCGGAACGTTAAAAAATTGTCCCTATGACCCCAAAAACATCCTATTTGGCCCTTTCGGGTCAAAAATTGGACCCTGAATCGTGTAGGCAGCCGAACCAACCAAATCGGCTAGCCATTTGTCGTCTCCACCATCGGCGACTACAAAACTGAATGCGCGGCTCGCCTGGCTCTTCTAGCTCGGCTCACTGCTGGCCCGCCCACGGCCCACTCCGACTCGCTGCGCCCACCTGCTCGACCCGCACGCTTGCCGTGCCTGCCCCCGTATTTGGCCCGGCTAGCCTGCGCCTAGCCCACGTAGTCCCGCATGACCGTTGGTGGCCAGGCGCTAGTTCTGGTCCGCGGCTGCTGACGGTTATGAGATCGCCGACTTAATTTTTTTTTTAATTCGTAAAAAATCTGGAAAAAAAAATCCAAAAAAATTTCAAAAATTCTAAAAAAAAAAATTTATAAAATTTTGAAAAATTCCAAAAACTTTAGAAACTTCTCTCTTCCTCCCAAAAATGTTATAAATAGCCCATAGGGCCAGGGGGAACTTGCACCTTCTCCTCTTCTCCTTCTGGCTTTTTGGCAGTTGAGGCTTTCAGCTGTTTTTCAGTAGGTGACTGTCCCTACTTGACTCAGCGCCCCTCATCTGGTATAGAAGTTGAAATTTTCTTTATTTTTTCTTCCTGCTCTAAAGGCTTTCCGCTATCTTTCGTAGGTGATTTTCACTACTTAAATTAGCACCCCCCTTCAATGTAGAAGAAATTTTTTTTCCTGCTTGCATTATCTTCTCTTCTGCAAATCTTCTTACAGTCAAGGTATTCTACTTACTTTACATATGTGACTTTTCTTACGTAAATCGGCGCCCATCCTCTCATACAGAAGTTGAAATTTTTTTTCTTTCTTCTCTCTCGTTCTAACTTTCTTCTAGTTGAGGCATTCCCCTATTTTGGTAGGTGACACCCCCTACTCAAATTTAAGGCCTCTCTCCATGTGTAGAAGTTAGAATTTTTACAATCGTTCATTTTCTTGTGTTCTTCTTCTTATATTAGAGGCATTCCACTATCGTAGATAGGCGACATTCCCCTATCAAGCTTCAATGCCCATCTCTTATGTAGAAGGATATATTTTCCTCTTTATTTTTCACTTGTGTTCTTCTTCTTATATTTGAGGCATTCCACTGTCGGAGATAGGCGTCATTCCTCTATCAAGCTTCAGTGCCCCTGTAATATCAAAAATCTGCTCCAGGATCGTACTGGGACGATCAGTTGTAATTTTGTTCCAGAATTTGTCCAGTTTTGCTCCAGGTGATTTTCTGTACATATCGTCCAGGCCGATTTGGACATCGTCCAGGCCGATCGGCACTGTAGAAAATATCGGCCTGAGAATAGTTCTGGGAACCGTCCAGGACGGTCGGGACGATAAGCCATGTACTGTATCTGTAGATGATTGTTTTGAGGAAAATGAAAATATAGATGTTTTGTTCCGCTGCATTTGGTGACTTATAGTAGCTCTGTTGTTCTGTGTTTGTGTGTCTGTTGAGTTGATTAATTTGGAAGATTCAGTTTAGTAACCAAATTCCAAAGCCAGATCCTGGATAAGAAGGTTTTGTCGCGGTCCGGCTCGGGCGGGATCCGCCCCGTCGGGTCGGGTCGTGACAGCCCCTCTCTTGTGTAGAAGAAGTCGCGATGAGAGGCTATCTTCTTAATAGTTAATCCTTGATAGAAGAAGATCAATTATTGCTCGTATGCGAGGGTAATTTGAGAATATCTAACGGTAATAATCTCTAGGAGGAGAACTAGAAATGATGAGTAGATGGGAAGAATTTCGATGCCACTTGAGCGAGAGTTTGTTTGCGAGGGATGATCGAGCCGAAGTCCGTTAACAGTCAACGGCTGAGTGGAGAGCTGAAGGAGAGAGTTCAAAGGTGCGTTGCAAGTAGCAGTCGATCGACAATCTGATGATGGCTGATATGAAGTAAAGGACCGCTGGCAGATATCAGACGAATGTCCGATGATGGCAGGTGTCCAGAGGCATTTGTTAAGGCAATGTGCATCCATATTGAAATGTAATGACATCAGATCTCCCTTATGAAGTGGTGTGCACTATCAGCATTCTAGAGACACACTAATAGTGTCAATTGAGTTGGGGTCTGATGAAGATCAAATTGTAATATTTCTTTGAAAAAGAAGTTATAGAAGATACTTCAATTCATAATAGAGAAGAGGTCACTTGAATCCACCAAGAAAATTTGATCGTTTTCAAGTTTCTTGTTACTTGATGACAGTAGCTTATACAATAGATATCAATATACTTTTTAATTTCAACTTCCAGCGAGAATAAATATACATCTGAATCTGAATTTATGTAAATTCATTGATATTGTATATGAAGTTAAGAAGTTGTTCCTTTAAGGAAGCTAAATTATTTATACATCTTTGAGACATGATTTGATATATTTCCCCCCATATTTTTAGAGGTATTGTTAGACTGCTAAGGTCTTTATATGAGTGATGATTTTATCAATAACTTACTTTCATGAAATCTTTTTTTAGAGAGAATGTTCACTTAGAACATTATTTGATGATGTTGACCTCTGTAGAAGAGGTTACGAGAATCTACTAAGGATGTATAACTTATCTGAGGTTATATGTTAGAGCCCTGCTCGGTGATATTAACATATATAGAAGAGGTTGAAAGAATCCAGCAAGGATGTAAGATCTATCAGAGGTTGTATGTTAGAGCCCTGCTCGATGATGTTAACCTGTGTGGAAGAGGTCGATAGAATCCACCAAGGATGTAAGACCTATCCGAGATTGTATGTCAGAGCACTTTGCTCGATGACATTAACCTGTGTGGAAGAGGTCAAGAGAATCCACCAAGGATATAAGACCTATCTAAGGTTGTATGTCAGAGCCCTGCTCGATGATGTTAACTTGTATGGAAGAGGTTGAGAGAATCCACCAGGGATGTAAGACCTATCCAAGATTGTATGTCAGAGCATTTTGCTCGATGACATTAACCTGTGTGGAAGAGGTCGTGAGAATCCAACAATGATGTAAGACCTTTTTAAGGTTTCATGTCATAGCACTTTGCTCGATGACGTTAACCTGTGTGGAAGAGGTCAAGAGAATCTACCAAGGATGTAAGACCTATCTAAGGTTGTATGCCAGAGCACTTTGCTCGATGACGTTAACCTGTGTGAAAGAGGT